CCCCTGGCGGGGGGCAGGGAGCTCGGCCCCTCGGGGCGGTTTGCGTTGGGTTTGGTTTGGGTTTTCCGATGGCTTTTTCCTGTTGCAGGAACTCGGCGGTGCCGTGCGCGGGGGCAGGAGCGGATCCGGCCTAAGCCGATTTCCACCCCCCCCTCCTTCCTCGCTCCATCAGCCGGCACCGCCGGCTCCGTCCCTTGGACAAAGCCATTTCAGCCCCCGGCTCCCTCCTGAACCCCTTCTGTTCCCATCCCTGCACCCCTGCACGCTCCGGCTGCGCCGCGGGGCCTGCAGGGACCCATCCCATGCAAAGCCGTCGTTCCCGGTGGGAGCGGGGCCGGCTCCAGGCCTCGCCTGTGTTCTCACACCGCGGTTCCCGGCGGGCGCTGCCGGAAGCGGGCTGTAAACCAGCTCTGCCAAACCCCATCCCGGGGCCGAGCAGGACCCACGGAGCACAGCGGTGCCCCATTGCCTCCCAGCCTGGCACAGGGGACAGCTCCCCTCATCCCCACAAAGCACCTTCCCACCAGACACCCCCGCAGCTGGGGGGGGTTTGGCTGTTTCACCCCCCCCCACAGCTCAGGGCAGATGAGGGGCTCCATGGGTGCAGTTCCCATCTCCTTTCCCAGCAGCAGAGGACGAGGCAGTGCTGTGGTGGAGGGGGGGATGGCACCCCCGGCACCCCACGGAACCCCTGCAGGATCCAGCTGTGGGGCAGGGACTGGTCCTCCAACAGCCGGCAGCTCCTTTATGGAGCCATAGACTGGGGTGAAGGGACCTTAAAGCTCCTCCAGCTCCAACCCCTGCCATGGGCAGGGACCCCTTCCACTGGAGCAGCTTGCTCCAAGCCCTGTCCAACCCCACCTTAAAGCACTGGAGGAGGAAGGCAATGGCTACATGGCAGTTCATAACTTGGTGGGTTGTGGGGGACACCTGCAGGACTCCTGGCTGATCCTTTGATCCCAGGGACCCCTCATCCCATGGATAGGATGAGGAGGAGCATGTATATATACATATACATACACATTTCTATACATACATATATATATAACACCGTCATATTCAAGAGTGCTTTGCTGAACTGGGTCCCCATCTGAGGCAGGGGCATGCCTGCCCTTCACTCTCTGTGCTGCAGCAGGGTATGAAGGGGAGTTGAGGGCCTCCTAAACCCCATTGCATCAGCCCCATCCCCACTGCTCCTCTCAGGGGGGGGCGGGCAGCTGGCACCAGAGCAGTTCCTTCCTCCCCAAACCTGCCTCACTGCAGGGCTCTGAGCATCCGGGATGCTCCAGAATGTCCTTCCCAGCCTGGACTGCTGGCCCTCCCCAGGGAGCCAGCAGACCCTTGGGTACCCCAAGCTAAGCCAGAGCCAGGCTCTGAGCATCCCCTGGGGCTGGGTGTGGGATGGGGTTGGGACCCCAAACCAGATGGATCTGACCCCCCCCCTTTCCTCTGCCCTGCAGATGTGCACCCCCAGCAACACCCCAGCCACGCCACCCAACTTCCCGGACGCTCTGGCCATGTTCTCCAAGCTGCGGACCTCCGAGAGCCTGCAGAGCAGCAACAGCCCCATCACCTCCATGGCCTGCTCCCCCCCGGGCAGCTTCAGCCCCTTCTGGGCCTCCTCTCCCCCCAGCCACCAGCCGGCCTGGCTGCCCCCCTCCTCACCCACCGCCCATGGCCTGCACCACCACCTCCACCACGGGCAGCCTGCCTGGCCCCCCGCGCCCCCACCCGCTGCCCCCCCCCAGAAAGCCGTGGCCACCATGGACGGCCAGAGATAAGACTGGGATGGTGGAGGGGGGGGGCGATGGGAGGGGGGGATGGAGGAAGGGGGGGTCCGGGCCAGGGCGTTGGGAGCGGGGGCTCCCTGAGCAGCGCACTGGAAGCATTTTCTAGGATTTATTATTATTGGGGGGGGGCACGAGAGCCCCTGCGGGAGCCGCCGGCTGGGCCTGTCCACCCCCCCCTTTCTTTTTTAAATCTATAGCTATAATATATAAATATATCTAATGTATATAAACCCAGAGAGAAGGAGGCAGCTGCTGGGGGTGTGTGTGGGGGGGTCCCTCTGGCTTCCCCCAGCATCCCTGCACCAGGGCAGGAGAGGGAAAAGCAGGGGGGAACAACACAGAATTGAGGGATGGAGGTGGCCATGGGGGCACGGAGCCATTCCCCTTCCCCCCCCCCAGCTCTGGACTCCCTGGGTGCCTCTTGCAGCACCCACAGCAAATGCACCCCTCCTCTGGCTTCCGAAATCCAGCCTGGCTTCTGGCACAGACCCCCCTGACCCCCCTCAGGGCCTGGGGGGGGGTATCAAGGTGAGGTCCCTGCGGGTGCTGCTCATGGCCCTTGCCCAGGGAGGGGGCAGCAGGGGAGGTTTTTAGTTTTCAAATCAATCTTGCTTAAAAAAAACAGAGAAAAGACACAAAAAAAAAAAAAAAAAGAAAGAAAAAAGACCAAGGCAAGGCCAGGGTGAAAGTTTTCTATTAACTGAAAAATAATAAAAAAAAAGGCAAAAAGAAGACATCCCGTTTGTACCAGCAGCTGTCCTGCCTGGTCTCTGTGCTGGGAGCACGTCCCAGCAGGGTGCTGGGAATGGGGGGGGGCCCACAGGAGCTGCCACAGCCCCCAGGAGGCTGCACCCTCAGGCAGGGGGAGCAGAGGGAAGGGGAGAGCCTGCAGTCATGGGGGTGTTAAGGTGGGGACCCCATCCTGTGCCTTGCAGCAGCCCCTAAAGCCCAACACCCACCCGTGCCTCGGCGCTGGGGGATACCCAGTGCTGCTGTGCTCAAGGGCCAGGTGATGCCTTCAGGTTGTCCCCCACTGCACCCGGCTCAACAGCCCCCATTGCCCACCATGGGATGGGAAGAGCCCTGGAGCGGCTCAGCCCTGGACCCTGACCTCTCAAGGCACTCTGTGTGCTTCCAGCCTTCAAATCCCAGCCTGGTTTGTGTTGGAAGGACCTTAAAGCTCATCCAGTTCCAATCCCCTGCAGTTTGAACCCATCACCCCTTCTCCTGTCACTACAGTCCCTGATGAAGAGTCCCTCTCCAGCATCCTTGTAGCCCCCTTCAGACACTGGAAGCTGCTCTGAGGTCTCCACACAGCTTCTCTTCTCCAGGCTGAGCAGCCCCAGTGTTCTCAGCCTGTCTCCATACAGGAGGTGCTTCAGCCCCTGATCATCCTTGTGGCCTCCTCTGGACTTGCTCCAAGAGCTCCATGTCCTTCTCATGTTGAGGACACCAGCACTGCACACAGTGCTCCAATGACATCAGTGTCATCAAATGACACCACCAGCACACCCAGCCCCTGGTTTGGTGCCTCCAGAGCCCAACTCCATCCCATGGAATAAACCCCCACCCCCGCTGCCCCCCGCTCACACCACAGCCACTGGGGTCAGAATCCTCCCAAATGGGAATGCAGCAGCTCCAGAGGCGGCAGCAAGGGCGGGGGGGGGGGCTCAAGGGCAGCGGCAGAGCAGCCCCAGGACACCAGGAGAGCCCCGGGGTGGGACAGACCTGGCACAGCACAACAGGGGGGAAAGGGGGAGAGCTCCCAGCTGGGGCTGCTCACCACGGAGGGACACGGGGGGGGCGTGTGGCTGGTGCTTGTGTTCGCTGGGCCCTGTCCTGCAGGTTAATCAGTGCTGGGGGTGGGTTAGGCCCATCAACACCTGAGCCCACCCATGGGTGAGGAGGGGCCTTGGCTGGTCCCCAGTTATCGCAGGTGGCACTGGGGCACTCCCAAAGCAGGTTCCAGCTCGCTTTAGGGGAAGGAGGGGACCGATCCCCCGAGGCTGGGGCTCCAGACGGGAAAGCAGCCGGGTCGGTGCCGCCTTCCCAGCCATGGCGGCAGCGCTGCAAGGGGCAGGAGGGTGATGAAGAGGCCCCATGAGGGGAGCAGGAAAGCAGCCGGGTGCTGCTCACCCCTTGCAGCATCATTGCCTTGGGCTGGGATCGGCCTTTGGCAGGAGCCAGGGGCCACTGCACCGCCCGGTGCCCCCAGGGCCACAGCGGGGCCGTGGGCTCCCACATGGGGTTCATGCAGGACAGGGGGTGCCCGGGGCAGCACAGTCTGTGGGGGGCACCAGGGGCTGTTTTCAGCTGCCCCAGTGACACGTGGCTGTGGGCCGAGGGGCGCTGCTGACCCCTCCCTGTCCCAAGCCAGGGTGCCCCCACACGGGCTGAGCATCACTGTTTAATGCTACTGGGCCACCGGGGTTCTGGGGTGTCAGCAGGGCCAGCCTGGCCTTCCCCTCAGCCTCTTGGTTTTCCTCCACTCTTCCTTGTCTGCCTGTGCTGGGTGACGCAGGGGGCAAAGGGCAGGCTCCCTCGCAGGGATACCGGCAGCAGCTCCCAAGCCAAGCGCCTCCCAGCTCATCCAGGTTTCCTCTTTCATGCAGGACTGTGCCTCCTTCACCCGAGGGATCTCCTTGGGAAGATGCTGGTAGAGAGGAGGCTGGCAGGGGTGAGCCCCAGGGAGAGTCCCTGTGGACCAGACCTTGGTCCCTACCCCAGAGACTCCAGGAACAGCGTGTCCCCGCACCACTCAGTGCTGTGCAGGATGAGGTCCCTCTCCGGTCACCACCACCACTGGGTTTAGCCCTTGGACGAGCCAAGGTCCCCTTAGGGTGGGAGATGAGGCCCATGAGGTGCTGATGGAGCCTCTCTGCTGCCCTAGGAACAGACACAGTTCCCAGCCGCAGGTCAGGAGTGGGGAAGGGAGGGATGGAGAAGGTGATGGGGCCGGAGCTCCAGGGGAGTGGAGCCTCCAGCCGGCAGAGCTGAGGGTACTGGCTCCCTTGGACCCAGAGCTCACAGTGTGACAGCCCCTGTCAGCACGGGGAGGACCCAGAGCAGTGCTTCAGCCCCAGCTCTTCCACCCCTTCCCCAGCGGCAGTGAAGCCCCACGGACCGCCGGGTCCTTGGGCTTAAACCAAACCTTGGTCTAAAGGCAGCGTGGCCCTGGGGAAGGGAGCTGGGAGAGCTGCTGCCTTGGAGATGCTGCTCTCGTTGGCGGCCTCCTTCTCCAGCGGCCCCACGTCAGCACCCACGGAGTCAGCCCCGGAGCCGGTGCCCTGTGGCGGGTCCGTGCTTGGCAGCGGCCCCGGCCCTGTCCCTTTGCCGGCTGCTGCCAGCCCGGGGTGGGCACATCCCTCTGCCGCAGGGCCGCAGGCGGCTGCACAGCCCCAGGGAGGTCACAAGCACGACCCCAGGGGTCCAGCGCTGCTGCAGCCGGCGACAGGAGGGTACCTGGGGCGAGAGGAGAACGGGAGAACGGGAGAATGGGAACGGGAGCCGGAGCCCGGCCCTCTGCTCCCCGGGATGTATCCCCTCTGCCCCGCCAGCCCCTTATTGGCCACCGCCCACCGCTCCTCGACGCCGATTGGCCGAGCCCACCGGCAGGGGGCGGGGCTGCGGAGCCTCCCGCGGCCTCGCAGCTCCGGGCACGGCCCCGCTCCCGTGCGCTCTGCCTTGCCCGGGATGGGGCCGCCCGGGCCCGCAGCTCCCCATGAGGGAGCCCGGAGGAGCTGCAGGGTCAGGAGCTCCGCAGACCCCGCCAGGCGCAGCTCAGCCCTAAACCAGCACGGCGGGAAGGACCTTCAGGACCTCAGCTTCCATGCTGAGGGACCAGGGCAGACAAGAGGCCCTGGCTCCATCCAGCCCCAAGCCCCCATCTCCCCCTGACCTTGGGGAACCAGCTCTCCTAAAGCAGGCAGGGATTTGCAGACAGCTGCTGGCTTCACATCAGCTAACTGCTTCAGGTGTCTAGTGAAGGGAAGCCTGAGGATGGCTTGGGCTCTGGTGCTGACTACAACCCCCAGGGCACGGCTCAACCCTTTGCTCACTTGGGGCTGTGGGTGCCATGCTCTCTACCCAAAGCAAGCCCAAACTGGGCAAAAGCAGGCAACAAGCCTGGGCCTTGCTTCTGGCAGGTGTGACAAGCAATGGGGAGAGAAGAGCAGTGCTGCTCGCATCTTCCAGGAGGAAAAGCATGGTCCAATGCTAGCTCAGAACAAGGGGTTACATGCAGACATCTGCAAGGATTCCACACACTCCAACAGGTCCATTCCATAACTCTCCCAGCACCGGACTGTGTGCCTGGAGCAGGCTGAAGAACCACACTGTGCTCTCAGAGCAGAGGCAGAACTTGTTCCTAGTACCTGGAAAACACAGGAAACCCAGCCCCAGCCTTAAGCCCTCACCCAGCCCTGCTGGAGATGCTGGACATGACCCACCTGCTCCAAGCCCCCATGTCCCCTCCCCAGCTCTGAGCCTGACCACTGGTGCAGGGCACACTTGTTTATTGCTGCTGAGGCTGGCCCTGCCCAGGCACTGCCTGGCCCTCAGCACCCTGGAACACATTTAGATGCTGGAGGGGAAGAAAAGGATGTGGGCAGAAGTTGAAGGAGAAGCAAAAGGGAAGAAGGGTCTGTTAGTGACAGCAGTGCACTCTGGAAGCAAGGGATTTGCTCCTCAGCAGGCTGGAGAGTGGTACATGTTTTACTGGAGTGTTTGTCTGCCTCAGCAAGGGGAAGATCACAGTTAGGGAATTTATTCTTCCGTCATCCTGGAGACAAGGCCCTTCACAAGCCCCTTGTGCTGCCTTCTCAAGTGTCCCCTCCAGCCAAGGATTAGCGTCACACAAGAAAGGAACAAGCTGTGAGTCCTGCTTCCCTGTGGAAGGGGCTGCAAGCTGCCACGTGAGCCTGCTTACAGCAACAGCCCCACAGGCCAGGCATAGCAGCTGTTCAGAGGGGACGAGCTGCACAGGAGGCACCAAATTTGAACACCCTCTGCTTTGGTAGCAGGGTCAGTGTTAAGTGTTTTGGAGAGCAGAGCTGCACTCCCTGTCCCCACGAGACTCTGCCACAACTCAGCAGCCCCATGCAGCTCCAGGAACAGTGCCTGCAGTTGCAGTGCAGTGTTCAAGCAAGGACCAAGACCCCCATGTGCTTTGCCCCTGCAGAACAAGAATGACCCAAAGCTCACAGAATGTAACGGCTCCAGCCCCTGACTGAAAACCTTCATGCTCCTACAAGAATAAAGTTGTCTTCTGCCCATAACTGATGCCTTCTCACACACGTTTCCTTCTCTTGTGGAAGCCAGGCCAGGGGGAGCACCAGGTCTAGTCGTCAACAGTGATGTTGCGGAAGAGGTAAGCCATGGACTCTCCATTGTGGATTCGTCGGATGGCTTCAGAGAGAATCAAACTGATATCCACAGTCTTTATCTTGGGGCACTGCAGCTTCTGGACCTCGTGAGGAACTGTGTTGGTTACTACCACCTGTGGAGTATCAGAAAGAAAAGAGCATCAGTTGTGCTGCTGATAACGCTCGCCCCCACTGAGCTCCCTGAGTGGTGGTGTACTGCTGCTGCTGTGCAGGTCAGGGGAGAGCTCCTTGTGTGTCCCAATAAAGAGTAAAAGAAATGGTCTCCCCCAGGTGACAGTTACTGCTGAGGGAACCAGCATCACCAACTCCACAACAGCCACCTCCATACAGGCTGAGGGGTCCATGTCAACTGCAGCAGCTGACACATTTGTTATCAAGTGTGAGGTTTGAAGTATCCTCCTCATGTACACAGAACTGATCTCAATAAGGATTTACCATACATGATTCTTCTCCCTCCTGCCCATGAAGAGCTCAGGAGCTGAAAGCTGATGCTCAGCTTAAGCAGCATGATGATGAAAACTGACAACTGGAATGACTGGAAATCAGTCATTCCAGAGATGGGCTGCCCTACGTCAACCCAGCCCTCAGAGCCTCAGTCAGAGAGCAGACCCACCTCATCGATGGAGGATTCCTCGATGAGACGGGGGGCATCTGCTGACAGGAGCCCATGAGTCGCCATCACAAAGATCTTGTAGGCTCCACGTTCTTTCAGGATCTCTGCAGCAGCAACAAAGCTTTCCACATCATCAATGATATCATCCTGAGAAGATGCAGAAATACCATCAAACCCAAAGCTGACTGTGCCTGCAGGCCGAGAGTGGATCTTCAAGGCACTGCAGCTTTGGCCACATGTAAAACAGAAACCCTAGCTATTTCAGCTGCTGTTGGATGTGAGGACAGCCACCTGTGAATGCCGTTTCCCTCATGGACAGACCCTTTTGCTGGTATGCAGAACAAACATCATGTCTTGGAAACAAAGGAGTCCCTGCACACACCCCAACAGAGCTTCTCTTCAGCAAGGTGGGTTTTATCATGGTGACAGTAGCTGCGTGTTGATGACTTACACTGCAGCATGGCACAGCAAGGATGAGAAGCTCAGCAAGACTTTCTAGATGGTGGGGGGGGGGTGTTTAAACATTCCAGATTTCTCTGTGTGTCCTGGATTTGTGGAGTATTTGTAGAAATGTGACCTTTGTAGCTTCAAAGGAGCAAGGACACTTCAGGGCTTAAAGCACTCAAGTACAAAGGGTTTTCAACAGAAAGCTGACATAACCAAAGCCACCAGGAAAACTGGAGAAAACAGTGGCAACAATCACATTCCCAACCCTCCCTGAGTAGTTCCTCCCGTTCTCCAGGATAAAGCAGGTCAACAGAAGATGCTGGGAGGAAGCCACCCCCCTCCCACCCTCCTCTCCATCACACTCATACCACAATGATGGCAATTCTTCCTCCAACATCTCCAACCACAGTTATTGGTGGTTTCTCCTTGGCCATCATCACTAAAGAATAAGAAGAAAGAAAAGGCCAGGTCAGTTACCCTTGAGTCAAACCACAACAGCTCCACCACACAAGAGGCCCGGCCTTTAACTACATCTTACACTGGTGCACAGACACGTGTTTCACGTTATCCTGACACCCACCTAAACAGGTAACCACCGGTTTAACCATTGTTTTCATAGAATCCCAGACTGGTTTGGGTTGGAAGTGACCCTAAAGCTCATCCAGTTCCAACCCCCTACCATGGACAGGGACACCTTCCACTGGAGCAGCTTGCTCCAAGCCCCTGTGTCCAACCTGGCCTTGAGCACTGCCAGGGATGGGGCAGCCACAGCTTCTCTGGGCACCCTGTGCCAGCACCTCAGCACCCTCACAGGGTACCTAAGATCTAAGCTAAATCTACCCTCTCCCAGTTTAAAACCATTCCCTTCTTCTTCCACTCCTCCATTTCCCCTGAAATAAAACAGCAGTGCTGCACAAAGATGAAACTGTTTCTGTAGGGACCTTGTACTGACCTCAGAGACAGGAACCAAATCCAAATATCCAACAGCCCCCTGTGCAAGGGAAGCTCCAAAGCGGCACCTCATTTATGGGCAGTATCAGTGACTTTATGTGCTTCACAACAGGACTTGAAGAAAAAGGGGTATCTCCTGACTGGGAACATCAAATGGGCTTCTCTGAGCAACACCTCTCAAGGGCTTTACAAGTGCAGTTCTTCACCTGCTGGACTCACTAATTCCTCTGAAGGCTTTGGGACTCACACTACAGCCTGCTTGCTTTCTCTCATCTCACCAAACACACAAGGCTCTTTCAGAGGGTGTAAGCACCTTAAAAATACCTGCTCTGCAATTCGCTTCTGCAAACTTCCTTTTCTGGTAAGTGTTTGTTTTAAAGGGGATTAATGGAAAGAACAGGACAAAACCAGTTCAAACCCAGATCTTTAAGCTCAGTGCAAGCAGTAAGTGGAAGCAAAAGGACACACTGATGAGCTGGTTGACACATGGTGAAGAGACGTACTGGGAAAGCAGGTCCCGCTCCTGCCTGCCTAACTGTGGACTGACATGGTTCATGCAAAAAATACACCTGTAACAGGCTTTATCCTGAAAGCAGTCAGAAAAATAACAGATAGGAACTAGGGTGCACTGAGGGTGTCCAGATGCAGCACCGGACTGCAATCAGCCTCTGATACAGGCCTTGTCTGCAAGCCAAACTTCTCACCTGCCAGAGGTTTATACAGTGAATGCAGCACACAAAGGACAGAGGGGTGGGCATATGTGGGCCATTAGGTGACAATCTGGGCTGATCTAACCACTGAAGCAAAGAGGAACATCCAGCATTTGTAACACTTACCTGCCCCACCTGCACTCCCCAGGTTTTATGCTCTCTATGGGGAGCACAAATTGTCCTACCAAGGCCACATGGGCTTCCCCAGTGCCAAGGGGTTTTGGACACCCTAAAGAGGGAGACTTTTCTCCTTTAAGATAACCTACTTTGATAGAATACTTGAGCAGCATGAGAACACAAGCCAGTGCCCATCAAAAAGCTTGTCTGAAAAGTGGTTTCTGGCCTCCCGAGTCAAAAAGGTCCTGCACAAAACTCCCCATCCTGCACAGCAGGCTGCTGCAGCACTATTCCCACAACTCCTCAGTGCCTGGGAATGCTGAGTGAGTCAGTCTGAGGGATGTGATGAAGGCAATTACGAGGACCACAGCTCCAAAGGTTCATGTGGAGACCTGTTCTTCACACACACGACCAACTCCACAGACTGGCTCTCCATAAGCTGACCAAAACTGTAAAGAAGGTGGCCAAAAGTTCTGGTTTGACCAAAGTTACATTACTCACTGCTGGGTACTGCAGGTAAAGTCACAGCTACCTTGGACTTGAAGAGTTAACTGCTTTTTGGAGCAGATTCTCAGCTTTGCTTGCATGATTCCTGAGTCTATCAAATGCAAAGTCACGTCTAAATCCTGAAGGGATAATATTCTTAGGAGAAGGAAAAACTAAGATTAAGCACCACAAGAGATAAGCAGACCATACATTTCAATTCTAGGCACTACCTACCTGCTTGGATTAGTTATTAGCTTGTTATCTAGCTTGGGCAGGAACAGAACTCCCAGCAGGAGCTGTGGAATACCAAAAGGATTCCACGTGGCTGCTGTCCCACCACTGGTGTGCATTCACAACTGAGACCCATTTCCAACAGCCAGGCCAGGGAAAAACCCCTTCTAAGCAAAAAAAGGCCCAAGCAGCTGAAATGCAGCACTATTTTACCCAGAAACACATGAAGTTTCAGTAAATCCATTCCATAAAGGAAGCAGACCCATTCCTTGCTATGCTCAAAGGCTAACACAGCAGCTACAACCTGAGCAGCACTTCCCATCTCTTGGGGTTTAAATGCTGTATTTCAATTCTCCTTTAGTTTTCAGGGATGGTAGGCAACACGTGGACCTACCCGGATCCTAAAGAGATGTTCTCCCTTTTTCTTGTTCAATTTTCTCTGCAAAAAAAGAGAAAACAATTGCAAGCCAAAGATCTACCCACAACCACATCAAATCCAGTGTGAGGAGAGCTTACACAGGGGTTACTGCAGCCAGATTCTTTTGCTTTCAAAAATCTTTGACCATAAAGATGTGCTATGAAAAGGTAAAATACGACTCAAGTAATAAAGAACATTTTCCCTCTCAGACACAAAATCCTCTATTTGTGTGTAGACAAGAGAGAGCAACAGAAGGAAGACAGAGCTGTACTTCTGCCTGGTGTAACCCCTTAGACTGTGTAGGGGTTTAAGTTAAAACAGTTGCTGGGGTTTTTCTGGAGTCAGAAAAGATGCTTGTGGTACTTGTAGCTTCGGGGGAGATGATAAAGAACAGAGGGGAAAAGAACTCAAACCAACCACCAGTTTTATACAACAAGAATATCAAAGAACACAGAGGGGTGGTGGGGATAGAAGTTCATCAGCCAAACATTCAAACCTGCACTTTCATTCTGATATAATATACACTGAAGGACCTCACATTAAAAGCAGTTTTATCACTGGCACAAAGAACCAGCATTCCCAGGTGCATAAGCCTGTTACAGTCAAAAACAGATTAAGAAATCATAGAATGGTTTGAGCTGGAAGGGACATCAAAGCTCATCCAGCTCCAACTCCAATGGTAAATGTTAAGCCCAGTTCTGTTTCGGAGCTGCCAATGTGGATTAAAGTGATAATTACCAAGAAGAAGAATGTTGCATTTGCAACAGAGCCCACAAGCAAGAATCTGCTCAAGCTGTTCTGTGAGAGAGAGAGACCTGGAAGGAGAGATAACAGCTCCCAGCCCAGCCTGAACACAGGGGAGAGACAGGGGCAGGACCCAGACTTTCCTCCCTCCCCAGTTTGCTGGGCTCTGGGCTGGAAGCAGACCAGCAGCTATCTATAGAAGGGACTGAAATGATTTAACAGATGGTGCCCCACTCCTTTTCTCTAGGAAACATGCAGAGTCCACATGCATTTGGTAAAGCACAGCCCCAAACCAGCTGCAAGTCTGGAGCCACAAAGAGCACACGGTCAAAGAGAATAACCTTGGAGTGTCATCCTGTCCCAGAGGCTCTGATTTCTGGGCTCTGAGTGATGTGAGCTGTTGCTGCTGCTTCAGCACAGCACTTGAAGAACTGCAACTAGAAGTACCTTTGGCACTTTCTTGTTATAGCTCCATATGACATCAAACCAGAGCATCAAATGAGACTACACTCTCAGGACAATAAATAAGCTATTACACTATGTAAGACTCACTAAAGGTCCATGATCTCTGCTAGAATAGGGATAAAAGGTGCACACCAGGAGGCAGGAGCTCAGCCAACTCACTAGGAAGCCCATGAAGAATAGCATTAAAGCACAAGCCATCACTGCAGGGCTCTGGGGCTGCTCCCAGATGTAGCTTCACCTCTCTTCTGGCTGGAACACAACTCAGGGAATGCTGAACTGCAGCGTCTCGAGAGGGAAGACAGGCTGCTCCACACCAGTGTGGCTGTAGCTCAGAGGAGGATGCTCCAGGGTTTAGTCACAGCCACCTTCTAACTGCCCAGACCCAGGTTTGTGGTAGTTGAGCCCTGCAGAATGCTTCTGTTTTGACACCCAGAGGTTTCTCTGGCCACCTTTGATGCAAGGAAGCATACAGGTCTGAGTAGCACGTGTCCTACCATTCACAAACCACACAGGGACACAGCTGAACCCTACTTCACTCTGCCATCACACCTTACACCACTGGGATTGCTGGTAGTGGCACATATGGCAGGAAGAGCTGGCCAACAGGTTTGATTTATGTGCCACTCGAGGTGGGAAGACACTTCTCCAATGCCTGAATCAGACAAGAAAAGAGGTGTATAAAAGAGAGGAGATGCAGACACAGCACTGCCATCCCTACCCCCAGAGAGCTGCACTTCCACCTCTGCCTGGCAGAGCACAGCTCCACAATAGAGGCTGTTAACACAACCAGGATGCACTAGAAGCTCCCATACTGCTTTCAGACAGAGCACCTCAGTGTTCTGCACCTCCAGCAGCAGAGCCCAGCTCAAAGCCAGGGATCTATCTATCTAGACAACTAGAGACAAAAGCAACTTTCTCCTGAGAGCTTTGGACAAGTTGGCCCCATAATCCACCCCAGTGACAGACAGCTACCAAGCACAGCTTGACTGTGTTACATTTGTGCCTTAGGCATGCAGGATGTAAGGTCATTAGTCAAGTTTTTGCAGGAGATGAAATAAGAAAGTGGTGATCCACAGCAGATTAGTTGTGTGAGGACTGAAAACCATTTTCCACTGGAATCATAATTAAACTGGACAAGGGCACATCTCTGTTTGAGCTGCCATTTACCAGCAGCACAAGCTCCCATAGCTGAGCCTCCTTGAAGTGAAATAGAAGTAAGAACACAGTCACATCAATATCGATGCCCTGGCAGCAAACGTCAGCTAGTGACATTCTGGAGGACAGCATCCTCTTTAGAGTAGGTGGGGAAGGAAAAGGCCAAGGGTAACCACATACATTCCTGTTTTGTTGGAAAGGCATGAAAAATCCCCTTTGGACAGGGGACAAGCAGGATGAAGTCCAAAGCTCCACTGCCAAACCTCACCTGGTCCCCAAGGCCCAGCAGGGGTTTCTCCAGCAACATAAGCACTGTTTAACTGACTGTATTACAGTGAGTGATGATGGGGTAAGGTAAAATGCCTGCAGTCCCCCTTGCCTGCCCTTCACAACCTGCCCACAAACTGGCTGGATGCTCTCCCTGAACTTCGAGAGGAAACACTTAGCAGCAGCCATAGCCACTGCTGGTACATAAAGCTTGGCTGCATGAGGGGTAGCTCCTCACCACACACAGCAGCTCACAGCTTTTCCCACCATCGCTTCTCAGCCACATTCACTGCACTCAGTTCCTGTCCCACCACCACCACCTACCTAGAAAGGTAAAACCATCCAAAGAGAGCTGGATTTTGGTTGTCATGACTGCTGCTGTTGCAGGAACACAAGCAACCCAAAGGGGATGGCATTTCCTGGAACACAGGCATCCTCCTTTTGACTCTGCACTGTGCTCCCAAATCAGCAGCTTACCAGTTGATGGCAAGAGCTGAGGAAGCAGCACAGCAACACTCCTGCAGCCACACAAACCCCAAAACCTTGTCAAAACACACTGGAACACAATCAGCTGGCTGCCAAGATAAAGATTTGCAGCAGCAGCAGGAGGGGAAGACAAGAGGCCAACCTGCACGGTGGGGACAGCAGCCTCAGTGCCTGTCCCCACATTAGTAACACTTCTGCATTTGTTTGCTGAGCACTGTGAAAGCACCACCTTCAGCAGAGTTTGGTCAGTCTGGCACTGCTGAGTGGGCACAGCCAAGGAGAACAAGTCTGATGCTTTGCATGGTCAGAAAGAGTTCAATACAAACCCTCCCCTCTACCTTGTCCTACAACTTGCTGATATCAGCCTTCCCACTGGTCCAACTGCCATTAGGTTGGTTACAGCTGCATGCCTAAACTAACAGCAGTTTCCCATCAAACTTCCCTCATTTTTGCCCACAGGAAAGCAGAGAAGCTCCATCTTACACGGCAGCTCCAGGCCAGGGTGCACTGTTGCATTTTTGACCATGGGAGGGGAGTGACGTCCATCATCCATGTCCTGCTCTGTGCACTGAGCCTCCCCGTGGATCACTGCCAGTCCCAGCCGCAGCCTCTCAGCATAGGACTGAGCCCTGCAGGACAACCACAGCATGTCAGGAAGATGTTGGGCTGATGGAGCACACCTCTCCCAGACCCAACAAAGGCTGCACATCTGTGGCTGACCCCCAGCAAGAAACTTCACCAGAAGCAAACTCAACACCCCAAAGCTCCCTTTGGCTGCAGCGCAGCCTCCATCTGCTAAATGCTCTCTGAGATGATCAGGCACTGCTGAAACCCATGCAGCAAATCTGACCCTAACCCCAGGTGAACCACCCAGAGTTCATCCCCACAGGGTTGGGACTGCAAAATTCAGCTGCCCATCTGCACCACTACAGATGCTCATCCCATTTCCAGGCACAAGGGACTTGCAGACCAGACTGCTGACCCATGTGTGACCCTCCCATATATTCCCTGGTGTATTTCCATCAGCCCAGATTTTTTTCCCCCAAGTTACTTTCAACCAGTCAGTAAAACATCCATTTACCTTTTAGCTGCATCAGGAGATTTGGCTACAATAACTGCATTTCTGTAGTCTGGAATCTGGATGTGATAAAAAGTTATTTAAGTAAAGATCTTATTGGTACAGGTTTGACACATGGATGAATAATCACACCCCCTTCTCCTTCCCCAGACCCAAATCTTCATTCTGTGGCTAGAAACACAGAATGGTTTGGGTTGGAAAGGACCTTAAGATCATCCAGTTCCAACCCCTGCAGCCAATTCTGTCTGGAGAAGGTTCCCCATATGGGGAAGCCTTAATCCCAACATGTGGGCATAAATCACCATCTTCTGCACATGGAAAATACAACCTCATGCCCTGCCCCAGCCCTGCTGCACTCAGCCTCAGACAAAGTCTGCCAATAATCAGAGCTGTCAGACATCCACCACAGAACAAAGGGTGAGGGGAGACAGTGGGACAGGATGTAAAAGGCAATCAGAGGCAGGAGGATGCAGAGGAGCTCTCAAATGGCACTGACTTTACAGAGAACAAGCTCATCTTACGGGCAACAGTTTGGTTTCTATCCAGGTACAATCATACAATAGAATATTTTCTCACTTGCCTAAGAAACATGCAATAGGTATCCCCCTAAGAAAGAATTCAGTAACAGAACAACTGACTCAGCCTGACAACAGATTACATTAGCAGAGGCCCAGTGCTGCTGGCACATTAAGACAAGTTGATATATATACAACTAGAGTAACCTCACTTCTTCCTGTATATATTGAAGCAAGAAAGGGGATGCTCTCAGGTTGTCTACTGGGAAGCTGAAGAAGCCTTGAATTTCCTTTTGATGAAGGTCCATTGTGATAATGTGTGTTAAACCTAAGGAAAAGGGGAAAGAAAGAAAGGAGATGAGTCCCACACAGCTAGAGATCCTCAATAGCTCCATTTCCAGACTATTTCAGCTATTACTCACACATGCCATGTGCTAAAATAAGCATCAACAGGTTCACGTGAAGAGTTCCAAAGACATAAAGAGAACCAGGCCTGTGGGAAGTCACAGCACTGGGCTGATGCTGTATTTCAACATGTCACTTCTAGGGCTGCTTCCCAGGTGTGAGTTACAAAGAAATAACACTAAGCTGAAGAAAATGAATAGCCCAAAGTAGCTGGAGAGCTCAGCAGCATGTCCCAGCACTGGATGGGAGAACAGAAAGACAGGCACCCTCCTGCCATGCTGCTGCAATCTGTGACACTCACCTGCCTTGGCCAGCATGGAAGCCAGCAGCTTGCAGACTATAGAGCCCCTCTTCCTCATCTTGCTCTGTTTGCTGTAGGGGAAGTAAGGGATGACCCCAATGATGTTCCTGGCACAGGAAGTCTTCAGTGCATACGCCATGATCAACAGCTCCATGACAGCAGTGTTCACATCTCTAGAGTTAAAACCCATTCCAGATGTTAGTGTTTATCCAATGTAACTCCTTTTCCTTTGACACACCTCCTCACACCAAACCTCCAAGCAAATAATGCTACAGCTTATGCTAATGTATGCAAGACCCAGCTTGTGCTCACAGAGCTCCTTCCATCGTGCCACAGCACATTACAATTGGCTGTTACATGGACATGACTCCAGCACTCAGGAGCTGTGAGCAGAATTTGATCCTGTATCCTCACATGATGTATATGATGATTTCCCTCCATCAGCACAACAAAAAAAAGGTTTTTTTCTTCATTTATGTTGGAACAAATGTCACTTCATACAGTGTACTTTGAAATAAGTCTTTTAAAGCAGCAGCACACATGAAGCCAACATGACTTCATCCTCACTGGATTTATCAGTGTATCTTTAATGTAAGGCAGGTTAATTTTCCTGCCTTAAGAAAACCTGCATTTTGGAGCAGTACAAAGTCCAGATGCATCACCTGGGCAGAGGTCAGCATCTCCATGCTATCATCTAGAGATGGAAGGAATGACAGCACAACAAATGCTGAACAACCTAAAACCCCCCTTTCAGTTGGCTTCCCCATGATGGTTGGACTTGATGATCTTAAAGGTCTTTTCCAACCTAGTTGATGTTGTGATTCTATGGCTGCTGTGGCCCAGGAGGAGTGTATTAAGCAGCATTTTAATTCATTTTGGGAAGTGGGCAACAAAGCCAAACCCTTTTAGTTCCTTAAAGCCAACACCAAGAGACACTTTGTGCATCACCACAGAGCAACTCGAGCCCATTTGGGAACTGAAGAACACTTCAGAGAAGACAGAGGGCCAGCAATACTCCTGCAATGCAGCCAGCCCTGCTTGGGGGGTTTCAGCACAGCCAGCTCCACTTCCCAGCCTGGACCCCAGGAGGGCAGTGCTGGTGGTGGCTCAGCCAAGGAGCCCATGGTGGCAGAGCAGGGGCTGACAGGGCCATCATTCCACACAGCAGCAGAGGAATACACAGCATGGAGCAGCCCAGAGCTCTGCAGGGACACTGCTTGAGGTCCTCTTTTCCTCCTGACCACTGGGAACACCTTCCCCAAGAGTTTAAAGATCCCATTTTCCAAGCCTCAATATGTGGGACCCGTGACCAAGCTCTAACTATTCCCATTTTCCCACTGCTCCCCCTTCCTTTGGGAATGAACCTCCACTTATACTTGTTTGGGAGCACTCTAGGTCTCTGCTCTCCCTCCCTCTGGCCCCACCACAGTATCCTTGACACACAGAAAGCTTTGTTAGCTCTGAAGCACCCAGCCAAGAATTACATAAAACATGCCCCTGCCACACAGGACAACAAGCAAACAAAGGGCTGTTTCTTCCCTTTGGTGGTTCAGCTGTGCCAGTGAGGCCGTGAGAAGAGAAAAAGATGCTACTATCAGTGTTATGTAAAAACAAACTGGACAAGTTTAAGCCTGCTTAAAGTTCATCGTGGAATTCAATCTTTCTCATCCCTGTTTTTCAAACTGCTCTTGAAAAAGATGTATGTTCACATGGAAAGCAGACAGAGAACAAGACTGGTCCTGGGAGAAAAGAGTTACCACTGATTGCGAAAGGCACCTGCAGTCCTGCTGCTGCTGTGGGGCACTGGTGGCTACATCATAGAATCCCAGCCTGGTTTGGGTTGGAAGGGACCTTAAAGCTCACCCAGCTCCAACCCCTACCCCAGGCAGGGACCCCTTCCACTAGAGCAGCTTGCTCCAAGCCCCTGTGTCCAACCTGGCCTTGAACACTGCCAGGGATGGTGCAGCCACAGCTTCTCTGGGCACCCTGTGCCAGCGCCTCAGCACCCTCACAGGCAGTAAAGAACTTCTGCCTTAGATCTAACCTGAACTTTCTGTTTCAGTTTGAATCCATCACCCCTTGTCACTACTGTCAGCTGGTTACCAGGACATTTAGTGCCAGCTCTGCTTTCCCTCAAACCCCTCTCCAGTAGCCTGGAGCCTCCTTACTGCTCTCCATCCCTGCCCAAGCCATCCCTGGAGATCCTTGTTCTCAGGGCTGAGCAAATGGCTCATGTGAAGCTGCAACAACCAGCACCAAGAGTCAGCACTAAAAAGACTCATCTCCCTTTTAGTGTATCACTGAAGCATCAACTCTTTCATACTCTACAGTATGAACTTGAGCTATTTGTTTGTCCCTCATTCAAATGCTAGTCCACACTTCACCACTCTTGGATAATACCTGTCTTTGTAGCTTCTTCAGTTCTGCTCTGTGCTTTCCGGACAGTCAGCTTGCATCAAATATTCAGGTCTTTCTGCTCTCTCTCCATGCAGACTGTGAATTCACACTGCAGCATAACAAGGTTGTTTCCCCTCTCTGCTTCCTTCCTACTAAGTCATAATATGTTGTTTGCTTTTCAGACCACTACTGAGTGTAGCAATCCTATTCTTACATTATTCAATACAGTTGATGGTTTTACTCTCGTGAAACCCACTGCAAATCTGAGGTGCCCTTGAATCTGTCCTCTCAAGCAATGCAGCCAGCTACAGCTGCAGCAAAAACTAGCTGCATAATGGTAGCTCCTCACCTGAAAGACCTTGAACATTTTGGCTAAAAAGGACCCATTTCTTCACCCACAACATTGAATTTGGTTTATGGGTAAACAAGGGGATCAACAAGTTGAAAGCAGAGGAGGTTCTCCCCTCCCAAAACTATTGCTGTCCCTAACTACGAGTTATCTGTCTTTGAACACCTTATCCATTTCACCTTTAGAGCTCTCAGTTACAAGTTACTTCAGAGAGCTCTCTCACAAGGAACAACAGAAGGGCACTACTGACCTGAAACACAATCGTGCATCAGTGGAGTTTAGTTTGGAGGTTTAGCTGCTCCCTGAGGGAGGAAACACTTGGAGCATCTCTCTGGAGAGAGATGAGCTCTAGGAAAATATCTCAGCCTGCAAGAGGAATTCCAGGAGTGAGGAAGCTGATCTCATAGTCCTATTGATCTCTTTAACAACAGGGCAAACATTACCAAGAGGCTCCTTCCCACCACACTAGTGCTATCTCATTGCACTCTGCCTCAACCAGGGAGCAGCAACGTTCCTGGGGGTAGCAGCTGGGTTTTTAGCCCCCTGCTTACTTGCAGCACCTCTTACTTCAAGGCTAGAACAGCCAAAAAGGGGCCTACATCAGTAAGAGAAACTGAGCTCGGCTTCACACCCCTATAGTGAAAGGGAAAGAGTAATGAGGCTTGTAATGGAAGCAATAGCTGCTGTTTGTTGCTGTCTCTGCTACTTCGTAATGGGAAGGCAGCTCAAAATGGAAATGCCAGTCAGGAATCACCAAGCAACTGAGCTGCAAGGACACACACAGCAAAGGTGTCACTTAGGGCAAGAATAAGCATGACTGGCTTCAGGTAACACACTTCAGCTAGTTGATGCGAAGCGTCTCAGTTTGCTGTGGCATAAGAGATCCCCTGGGAATTTTAACAACTTAACACTATGTGGTGTCAAATGTAAGTCAAAGCACTGGAAAGAGACTGGTTATCACGCTGGCTAATGGCAAACAAACCCATAGAGCAACCTGCTGAACCAGAAGTTCAAAGCACACCCCAGCTGTAAAACTGAGCCACAGGTCGCTTACCTGGGGATTGTCTGTATGATGAAGATGTCCTGTCCCCGCACAGATTCCTTTATTTCAACTCTTGTTTCTGAAGAGGATTGAAAACACAGTCAGTTTTGTTTCCAGACATCACATTTCCAGTGATAACACACCATGTCTTAGCAGCATCTGCCCACTGGGCAGGGCAGATAAGGACTTGCTCCTTTGCCCTGTGTACACGCACACAAGATGAGCCAAGTGGATTTTCCAAAGGCTGGGGTGAGTTAGTTGTATTTACAATGCAAACCCACGTAGAAGACAATTACCTAACTCTGAGTGAGAAAGAGCCTTTTCACTTCTCCTCTCTGAGTGCTGGAAGCTGTCAATACCACATTCATTAGTGCACAATGAACCACCCATCACAACAACCTTCAGTACTCACCAAGGAGGCAACTCCTTTTGTGGCTTACCAAGGAGTCAGCCCAAGGCAACACCAGCAGCAGAGCTGGGAGAGCTCCCCAGTTTCACTATCGAGGTCAAGCCATTTCAACACTGACATGTGCTGCTGCATCTCTGCTGAACACAATTCCTATAGTCCCAAAGTGACATGGAAAAGTTGAGCTCCAAAGCAGCTCTACAAAGCCAGTTTCCTTGAGGTGCCTGTCTTAGCCACTCATTTCCCACACAGTTGTGAACTAAAGGGCAGGAATAAGTGAAAGGAAAGAAATATCTACTCAGCTATAACTGCCTGGGCACTGGCAGTAACCTTAAGGGACTCTGCTCAAAGCAGGCTGTGCAGTGATGAAGAATGTCTTCAGACCTTGCAGCAAGTGACCCGATTTAAAACTAACCCTAAAGGGTGAGGCCAACCCCACCAGAACCATGGCAGCTTATGCACCACGTGGCCCATTCTGGCTATAGGAGCAGCAGCACTATCACAGAATCATAGAAGAGTTACGGTTGGAAAGGACCTTAAGATCATTCAGTTCCAACCCCCTGCCACAGGCAGGGACACCTCACATTAGACCATGTTCCCCAAGGCTCTGTCCAACCCAGCCTTGTGCACTGCCAGGGATGGAGCATTCACTTCTCTGGGCACCCTGTGCCAGTGCCTCAGCACCCTCACAGGGAAGAGCTTCTGCCTAACGCCTGAGGTAGGACTCTCCTTCAGAAGAGATGGGCAGCCAAATGAGCAAGAGGAGAAAACAAGGAACACATTTAAATTGCTTTGTCCAGGGTCAGACATGAGGTTTAGCAGTGCCAGGAGCGGCAGTAACATCACGGCTGAATCAGTGCCCTCATTAGCCAGGCTTAGCTGATGGAATGAGGCAGTATTCCTAACATTGCCTCAAACCAGTTGCAAACAGTAACCATTTCTCTCACCTCCATTGGTTTCCTGGTACACCACAGACTTCCCCAGCTCAGCACCGAGACGCCTGCAGAGAAAAAGAGGAAATTAAAAATGCAGGAACCCAACATTCGTAATAACTCAGTTCATGATCCAGAGCAGAGACTGGACCAAACAGGACACACCAACAAAGCACAGCATTGCCTCAGGCTGCAAAACTACTGCTCCCCTTGCCCCAGGGTCTCCTTCCTTCTGACACCCCTGGGGCAGGCTGATGGGTGCTCACAGAGCCAGTCCTCTGTGACTCTCCTGATGGCAGAGGACACCTCTGCAATGGCACCTTAGGTGGGTCTGTTGCAAAACTAAACATTAGTGATTTACTCAGACTCGATGAATGGCAACTGAGTCACTTCTTTTTGACTCCCACATCTTGTATTTTCCCCCCCAAACCTTCCTTCTGAAAAAACTCAGCTGACTGAAGAGATTTTAATGCCAAAAAACCCAAAAGGTTGCCGATTTTCTTTCAAATTACTCCTTCCTCCTCTCAAATGTTCAACCTATATCATTCAGCACAACAAAGATCAGTCCCACACCCCCCCTCGCCCTCTCTTTGAGGCTCTGCTTGGTGGCCATGCCATGGATTAGAAATAGTCTATGTCTGGAAAATGCCTTGGTTCCACATGCCTGGAGAAGAGAAGCTGCGTGGAGACCTTAGAGCAGCTTCCAGTTCTGAAGGGGGCTACAAGGATGCTGGAGAGGGCTCTTCAGCAGGGACTGTAGTGACAGGAGAAGAGGTGATGGGTTTAAACTGACACAGGGGAAGCCAAGGTTAAACATAAGGCAGAAGCTGTTCCCTGTGAGGGTGCTGAGGCGCTGGCACAGGGTGCCCAGAGAAGCTGTGGCTGCCCCATCCTTGGCAGTGCTCAAGGACACATTGCACAGGACTTGGAGCAACCAAGTGGAAGGTGTCCCTGCCCACGGCAGGGGGTTGGAACTGGGTGATCTTAGGTACTTTCCAACCCAAACCAGACTGTGATTCTATGAACATTACCTGGTAGTTTCCTGTCCGCATTCACTTTGACACAAGTGAATCAGGGCTACCCCTAAATGAACAGCCCACATCTGTCACTGGCTTTCCCCCACTCTACCACCCTCAGCAGCTGGTCTCTCTCCATCTCCTCAGCCACAGATGCAGCCTTGTATTCAACTGTTGCACAGATTTGGTTTTCCAGAAGCCAGTGAGTGGGACAGCCCCACACCGCGCTGTCCACCCTGGCTTTGAGCCCACATGCTAGAGGTCTCAGATGGAAGCTGGCCTGGAAATCATGTCCAGGTCAGCTGCCATAACAGCTACTTCAATGCAACATGATGTATTTGCTTAGCTGGCCTCTAAGCATGTGTTTGGCGCACACACATTCCTGATCCTTTGTCTGGCAGTACATGTGGCAATGGCTGAGGCTGGTGAGTGAACTCCTATGTGGAGAATTGTACATGTGAGGTTGGAAGCAGACTGCCCTGGGTACCAGCTGCAGCATCAATCAGGGGCCATGCAGCCCAGAGCAGACAAGTCACCCAAATCTATATCAATGGGGCTTCTCCCTCCACCCCTTCTTGCTTAAAACTCACAGCTGCAACAGGGGCATCCTCAGTACCTTCAGTGTCTTCAACCAGAGCTGGCAGCTGGGCAGCAAAAAGCAAATCCAGAGAGGGAAACACAGTAAAGGTGATTTGCAGATGGGATCCTACTGTCTTTCCCATGGCAGTCAGGCATCTGCAACCACAAAGCTTTGGCCTTATCACTGCCAAGTCGAAACCAGCTCAAGAATCACACACACAAAACAAACAGTGTGTATGGGGAAACGTTAGTGACTCACACTTGTTCCTCCAGAACCACACAGCACGTCTCGCAAGCTCCCTTTGGAGGCACGTGAGCCCCGAGCTCACTGCAGACAGCATGTTCCTACCTCACTGCTGGGAGAAAGACTCCATTATCAACACTGTGCAATGCCTTTAGTCAAGCCTGCACCTCACAGCAGGAAGGAAAGCTTCAAAACCAGTGCAGCCACACACATCCCAGCAAAGCACCCCTTGGAAAGTAGTGCTTTCAATGCTAAGTGATGGCAAACGCACCACAGAGGTCTGTGATGCTCCAAACAGCCTCAAGTTGCACCAGGGGAGGGTTAGGCTGGATATCAGGAAAAATGTCTTCACCAAAAGGGTTATCCAGCACTGGAACATGCTGCCCAGGGCAGTGGTGGAGTCACCATCCCTGAAGGGATTTAAAAAGGCATGTCCTTGAGGGACATGGTTTAGTGGTGGGCTTTGCAGTGCTGGACTTGTTCTTAAAGGTCTTTTCCAACCTAACTGTTTCTATGATGTAGCTGGCAAGAGGAAACCAGAGGCCAGTGCTCCCCTGTTCAGGCTGCACAGCAGTGATGCAGCTTCTGTGCTGCTGAAACAAGAAATCAGAAAGGGAAGGCTGCTTTCCAATGGAAAGAGGGACACAAACAGCTCAGCTTGTCAAACCTGGCTGCAGACTTAAAGGAATGAGCAGCAGCAGATTGCTCTGGTTGGACAACAAATCTCTCTCTCAATAAACCTCTGCTCCAGCTGCTGATGGCAACAAGAGGAGCAGCAATGGGAAAGATCCAGCAGAAACTGCTCAGAAAGATGCCAATCAACCTGATCTGCAGCACCCTGCAGATGACCAACAGGCAGCTCCACCAGTTCACCTTCCACTGAGTCCCTTCCTGAAGGCTTTGTGTGAGCTGAGGCTTCAGCCAATGAATGCACCTGATCAAACCTTCATTTATTTCCAAGGATACTATTGAAGCTCCTGTTGTAAAGCACCGAATTCCAGAGGACTTGCGTCAAAAGGGAGACTTGGCCAGAAGTCAAGGGCAGAACACAGCCATAGTTACCACACAGCCTGGGAGCAACCCTTCCTTCCCATCACCTCTCCCTTTGCCTCCCTCCATTCCCAACTCTTTTCTCTCAAAGCCCTTTCCACGCAGAAGTTCCCAACCAGTCATTGCTTTAAGTGGTAGAGAAATTAAACTGACAGCAAGAACTCTGCCTGCATTCAGCTACAGGCCCAGCAGCACAGGGGCTGTCACTTGTCTGCAGGAAGATTCACACTAGGAAAGAAAAGGCTGCACAAGTAACCCAGAGCACATAGCCATGCACAGATACAGCTTCTTCTGGGAAAAAGAGCTTTTTAGGTCCTGTAGACAAATCACATCTTCAAGCAAAATGATTTCCATTGACCAAAGCCCTGTGTGCTGCAGTATTTGGCCACAGGGAGTTGAGGGCTTTTGCCAACACCAAAGTGTTTGAGGCCAAAATCTCATTTGTTAACCAGCCCCATGTAGACATATGAGCACATATTTACTTCTGGAAGCTCCCTTTTCCACCCGAGGGAGACAGAAACGCAGTTTGGTGTTGGTTTAGGTTTCAAAAGCAACAGTGTGCACAGAGAGCCCCAGCACAGAGGGCTGAGATCAAAGTGTTACTACACCAGGCTGCTCCCAGTTTTGAAGTCCATAATGCCAGCTCAGTGCAAGCTTTCCCAGTATGACCACTCAACTTGCTCCTCACTTGCTTGCTCCTCACATCAGCTCCATCACTCACTAGAGTGATTCCTGTAGGACCTGATGGCATCTAAGAGAAAAGTTCTCATTACAGCTTAAAAAAAACCTGCTCAGAACAGCTGACTGATCTGGAATCTCTCTCTCTGTGAAGTTGCCCTCTGCAGTCTCACCACATGCCAAGAAGATATTGAACTGTGGCTACAGGAGTGTTTAGAAAATGTCACAAATGTACAGCCTCAAAGTGCATAGCTCAGCAATCACCTACACCTCAGTAAGGAAATGACATAGGAATCTATGAGCCTGTATTAGACTGTACTTTAAAATGCTTCTCTGAAGCCTGTCAAAACCAACTGTACCAGGCTCCAGAGAGAGGACAGGCAGCAAAGAGAGACTTGATGCTCAGCTGAATCACCAGTCAAGGGGGAAGTGCACTTGCAGGATTTCATGCCACCAGAGCATGTCTCAGTACTGCTGGGAAGGGCACTCAGGTTGCATTTCCTTCTCCCCCCTTTGACAAGAACCAAAAGACATTTGGAAAGTCATCTCCAAAGGAAGCTTCCAGCTCACAGTGCAAACATGAAATTTGAAGAGAGATCTGCACAGGGAGAAAGCCCTTTCTTTATTGTAGCAATATCCTCTTCATGACAAACACTATCACTGGTTGCAGCTCTGCAAACACCCAACCCTCCCCACACCTCCAGCCTCCACCAACTGCTGCAGGTCCAGAAGGAGCTGGAGCCGAGAGCAGAGGATCTGCTCCATGCTTAACCACAGCCACAGCCTGACTTTTGAGTTGCTTTCCAAACTCAAGCAGATCTTTATTTAAAGGTCAGGCATCTCATCCAGCAAGCACAATGCAGCTCTGGGGTGTATTTCCTAATCTCCCACTACAAAAAACAAGCCAGGAAAAGGGAAAGGAAACTGCAGCTTCCTGGATACAAGGCAGTTTGTTCAGAGAGCCTTAGAACTACCCCAGTTCTTCACCTCTCGACATCTACCCATCACAACCAGATACTTGAAGAATAATCCCTACTGCTCATCTGTGACTTGCACCCTGAGCCATGCAGCACTTGCATCACCCATTCCAGCCATGCCACGAGCCATGAAGCTGAACTATGGGCAAATACCACACAGATTTTCCTCTGCTCCTACCAGAATACTCCTTGGGAAGTCAGTCTGCTCAGCATGTTACGTGCCCAAGCTGCACACAGCATCTCAAAGCCCAACTGCTCCATGCACACCCTTCTCCAGCACTGTTCCCCTCCTGTAACCCTCTCCAACTGTACTACTTTTTAGCTGGTTATCTTTGACCCCTTTCCAAAAGCTTTTGATGCAGTTTCACCCTGTAATATCTGTTAGCTTCCTGCCACAGAGATGCATCCTCTGAGATGGAGAAGAGTTCATGCCACCTCTTCTCCTCTCTTAGCACCACACAAGAGCTCTTTCCTGAAGGCAGGAACAGGGCTTGGAGATGGGCAGAGAAGAATCACAAGGTGATCTGAAGGACGAAGTGACTCCCCTGCATCATCCTAATGGCCTAAAGAGGAAGGTTGACATTGCTCTTCCTCCACCCCATGAGAACTCCTTCAGCTGAAGGAACTGCTGCAAGTCCTCCTGACACTGTCCCTTCCAAAACCAAGGCTCACCTCCTGTTCACCCATAAAAACCACCACTCCGTTGCAGCACTGGGTACACAACTTCCTACAACCAGAGATTAGAACACAAGGCTCCATCTTTCTCTCATCACTCCACATTGTTTAGGCTCACAGCCTTGCTTTTATCTTCAGATCACTAGCATTTCCCATTGCTACCAACCAAATGAATGTCTAGAATACTCCCATCCACAGCCTGCAGGGAGTTTACCACAGTATCACTATGCAGGAGCACTTGGGAAGCATTAGCAAGCTTCAAGCAGCAAATCCCTCCAATCCAAACACACCAGCAGTGAGTAGAATGCAGTGCTTGCACCCTGCTAACCATGTGCTGCAGTCAGAGAGCTGTAAATGCATCTGTTAGACTGGAGACCTAAGCAAACTTTTGCTAGACCTCCTCCCCACCTCAGCAGCACACAGGCCCATTAGGGATCAGCACAGGTCCAGATATTAGCTGTCTCCCCTCTAAAGGCAGCTTCTGATCATGTGCAAAGTGTCCTAATTGCAGTAGGATTTTTCTTTCCATGTGGGAATTAAAAATCATCACTCTTAATTTCTAGGCTACAAGTAAACATATGGATTTATTTATGCTTCAGTGGTCCTGAGCCTAAGGAGCATCTTTACCATCTGAAGTTTCAGAAGGCGTCTGGCTCTCACAAACCAGCACCATCTCCTCTCCCTGGCATGGCTACAGAAACGGGAGCTCTGAAAGCTCAGTGCTGGACTATCCCTTTAGTCACCCATCCCCTAACCAGACAAGAATCACACTGGGAAATGGCAGAGATCAGAACTCTACGCTCAGAGCCTGAATTAAAAGCAGCTCTGGAAGTTCTGTATTAAAGGAAGTGAGGAGATGGAACAGCTTTCACAGGTTTATGTCCCACTGCTCCTCCCCAGGCTTGAGAGGTCAAAAAAGGCTAAGCCAGGACTCAAGTGTCACTTTCCCCATCACACCTACAAGCAAAGAGCAACAGAGCCTCAGAGCAGTGTCTCCAGGGGCCCTACTCCTAATATTGTGTGTTGTTTTAAAGTTCTTTTACTACTTAAACTAAAGGCCATAAAAAAACTTTAAAAAGCACGCACAATATTAGAGGACACACTCACCCTTCTAAGACCGCTCCAACTCAATTAAAAGGCTCAACTGAACTCCCCAGCAAAACACAGGCTGGGAGGGGACACGGTGGCAAAGGCAGCAGTCACTCAGCTTTTGCAACCTGAAAAAACAAGGAATGCATTACAAAGGTGTTGAAACAGCTCCTGAGCTCCAAGGAAGGTCAGAGCCAAACCGCTGCACAAGATGCTGAGAACACCTTTATTTTGGAGAGACTTTTACTGTGACCAGATCCCAACTAGTCATAGAATCACAGAACAGTTTGTGTTGGAAGGGACCCTAAAGCTCATCCAGTTCCAACCCCCTGCAATGGACAGGGACCCCTTCCACTGGAGCAGCTTGCTCCAAGCCCCTGTGTCCAACCTGGCCTTGAACACTGCCAGGGATGGGGCAGCCACAGCTTCTCTGGGCGCCCTGTGCCAGCGCCTCAGCACCCTCACAGGGAAGAGCTTCTGCCTTATGTCTATCCTACATCTCCCCTGTTTCACTCTGAACCCATCACCCCTTGTCCCATCACTACAGTCCCTGATGAAGAGTCCCTCTCCAGCATCCTTGTAGCCCCCTTCAGACACTGGAAGCTGCTCTGAGGTCTTTACGCAGCTTCTCTTCCCCAGCTTGAACAGCCTCAACTTTCTCAGCCTGTCTTCCTATGGGAGATGCTCCAGCCCCTGAGCATCTTTGTGGCCTCCTCTGGGATGAGGATGATTCCACGTCTTGCACCCCCTCTCCAACAAAACCTCATCCACATATTCTCATCCTTCACACCTTCCCATTTTAGCTCAGTCATCGCTCCCAGTTTACAGCTGTGTGTCGCCAAGCCCCAGTTGCAGCAGTAGCAACTCACACCACCATGTGTGTCATGCTCACACCACCACCCATGCATCCCAACTCCTCACTGGTGTTAGAGCCAAGGTGAGAAGCCCCCATCTCCTCTGTTAGAAGTTTACTTCATGAAGGACAGCCGGGAGGTCACTGCCTGGATCCTGCTGTCACTCAGAACATCACTGAGCACCCTGCACAGGGTTCCATCCGCACATGGTACAGCCATGGCCTGGGGAAGCCCATTCCCTGCCTCTTCTCATTACAGCTGTTTAAAAATGGAGTTATTTTTAAGACAAAGAGCAAGGAATAAAGATTGTCCCTTTGCTCTTTCAGTCCTGAGAGCACGGAGCTCATGGAGGTCTACTCACCCCCAGGGGAATTCTGTTATGTTCTGTGTTGACATAACAGGACAAGTCCTGTAAAACCGTGTCCCATCTGTTGCAGCAAACCTTACTTTTTTAGACATTTTATTTCCAGAGTTGCATCAGTGCCAGAACTGACCAAAAAGAGGAAAAATACACGAACCAAAAAATGCTTTCCCCTCCCAAACACGAGGATTTCCCTCTCTGCCTCACACATAATGAAGTCCATCGCTATTATCCAACACACATCCCATCAATCCCAGCCAGACAGCCAAGCCAGCTTCATGGAGATAATCTGTGTATTAAACAAGCTCAACAAACAGCACAATGCTCTTGTGCTTATGGTACCAGCACACCTCTCTTTAGTAACGTCCACAATCTAAGCACCCCTTGGAGATGGATCAGGCCAGCAGTTGCCTCAGGGTTTGCTCTGCTGCAGCAAACACACCCTGAGCCCCCTCGATTCTGGGAGCACCTTTCTATGAACTGTAGCAATGACACAGAAAGGAAATTCAAGTCCAGCTTTGGGACAGCAGCTCCCCAAACCACAGATGCCTGTCCCAGAAAAGCCCCTTCAGCTGCGAGTCCCAACCCCCAGTTCAGCCCCAGTTTGAACCAAACTAATCCAAAGCAGATCAAGTGTCGGGGGGACTCAGTGCTCCTCTGTGCACAAGAGCCCTGTTCTGGAGTCAGCTGTTACACCCCCATCCAGCGCACCCAAACTCTGCCCTAACCCATGGGCTGAGAAACAAGGAGCACATTTCTATCCCTCAACTAAAGCCTCCTTTGTGAGCATGTGCTGCCCACCTCTCCTACCCCACCAAGACCCACTCTGCTTGGTGCAACCGCTGCTGTTGCACCCAGGTGCACTCACGCCATGCTCAGCACGCCCCAAGCAGCGAAGCTGTTGGGCAAACAAGGTCAGCAGCCTGTGCCCATGAAAGGCAGCAGAGAGAGCTGTGAGCATCCCCCAAGCCAGTCAAAACGCTCTCTGAGTTTTGCTCAGCCATGCTGCACCTCCTCCCTTCCCAAAAGAAACAGCCTCGGCTGCACCCTGGCCTTTCCAGCCCTGGAATGGAGTCAAATGCAGTCAAACACACCAGAGGGTCTGTGCTCAAACGGAGCTACCGGGAGGGATGAGCGGGTACTGAGGAGAAGGGCAGAGCGCAAACCCTCTGCTGCAAAGGTGCCTGCAGCAGCCGCCTGCGGCTTGGGAAGGCGGGAGGACGCCAAAAGCCTCTTCTTCAGCCTGAACGGGGGAGGTCGGAGCGCGGGGCGGGCAGGGGGAGAAACTCGCACGAGAGGGAACTTACTCCGTGATCCGCTTCGCCAGCTCCGTGGAGGCTGCCGTGGAGTTGGCCGAGAAGACCCGGTAGCCACTTCTGGCTGCGTTCATCGCCCAAGCGTCATGCAAGCCCCGCGGAGCTCGGAAGTGAGAGAAAACAGATTTATAAGGCAACAAGAGCTTCCGTGGCATCCTTTTCTTCCTCTCCGCCACGATCACCGCCCCTCAAAGGGGTGGGGAAGAGGGAGGAGGAGAGCCCTTCCTCTACCTATGGTCTTGCTGCTCCGTTCCCGTGGCAAAGTGCGAAAGGGGAGGTTGAAATACAACTGTTAGAAAGGAGCAGCAGACGGGGGGGGGGGGGGAATATGGGGAGCATTGCCTGCAGAGCAACTCCCAACCCAAACCCGCCCTCATGCACCGGGGAAGAACACTCACCCCTCCCCAAAATGTGGAAGGGGGGGACCAAGGCAGAAAGAGGGCCCTTGGACGGCGGGGTGCGGAAGGGGCACAGGCAGGTGGAAGGGGGGAGCCCCGTGCGGCAGCAGGGCCGGAAGGGGGGGTAAAGGATGCCTAGGAGGCCGGGGGGCCCCCTCCCGCTCCCCTCACCCAGCCAAGCGGGTTCCGCCACCCGCCAGACCGCGCTTCCCCTCAGCCGCCATCTTTCCGCGGGAGAGACCGCCCCCCCCGCCATCTTAGGTGAGGGCACAGCGGCCTCGCTCCCCCCTCACAGCGGGACAGGGCTACCAGCTCCTGCCCGGGAAGCGGCGGTACCTGAGGAGAAGGCGTGACGGCGGTGAACGCTCTCTCTGCTCAGGCCGGGGCTCGCTGCCCGCTCCCGGTGCTGCTGACAGCGCGGGCACTTCCGCTCCTGCCCGCGGGGCGCGGCGCGGTCTCAACGCGGCGGCTTCACTTGCCCGAGCCTAAGATGGCGGCCTGGCGGAAGCGCTGTGGCGGCGCTCTAGCCTCGCCTTGCGGCAGGCGGGGCGGGTTGCGGCGGCGCTCTAGCCTCGCTCTATGGTTGGCGGGGCGGGAGGCCGCGCTCTTGGGCGGGGCCTTGCCTCAGCACCCCATGGCGGGGATGGTGGCCCTGAGGGGGCAATGCTCGCCCTCAGCCCGCTCTCGGCACCGTCTCCCAAGGGAACACGAGCTGTCAGGCTCTCCGGGCTCTTTGGATGTGAGGGCGAACTCCCTCGTCGAGTACAGGCCCGAAATGAGCTGTGTAAGCAGAGCACTCGTGCCCCAGCCCCTGGGGCAGAGCCTGTCCTGGCCCTTCTGCACCCAGCGAGCGTGCTCGGCATCGGAGGGAAGGCAAACGGCGTGAACTGCATGGGCAGGCCATGGCCTCGTTCTCCTGGAGGGAGAGGCCTTTCCAGGCACTGCAGAGGTGACATCGCCTGGCAGAAGGGGGAGGAAGTCGCGGTTGGCTGCAGTCAGGACATGGGGATGCAGTCAGGACATGGGGGCTGCCCTCAGGACACGGGGGCCGCACTCAGGACATGGGGATGCAGTCAGGACATGGGGGCTGCCCTCAGGACACGGGGGCCGCACTCAGGACATGGGGATGCAGTCAGGACAGGGGGGCTGCACTCAGGACATGGGGATGCAGTCAGGACAGGGGGGCTGCACTCAGGACATGGGGCTGCCCTCAGAACACGGGGGCTGCACTCAGGACACGGGGGCTGCACACCTCCATGTCTCAGCAGTACCCCAGTGCTCTGGTGCACGTGTGTGTGACATAAGCAATGCCTCCAGCCACAGCTCCTGTCAGAAACATTCCATGCTTGGCTGGGAGCTGCAGCATTGCTGTCAGTGCTCCTCAGCTGAACGCTTCATTGAAGGTTGGCTCTCTCCAGCCCTCGATAAGATGCAGCATCCTCAATGCAAACAAGATAGAAATGCATCTGTATGCACTGCCCGAGCACCAGGCTGGAAAGTTTCGTCTCCCCCCAGTATCCCTCAGAACCACCTCACAGTTACCTACCTGATGAAGCCTCCCAAGCTGCAGGCTCCATTTGCTGGGGGGCACAGCTACCCCCTCACGGGCACCCCAACCCAGGCTCTCCCTCAGCTGCATCCAGATGTGTGTTCAGTGATGGCTGCTGCTGCCCTGCACGGTCATTGTCAGTGGTCACAGCACCCAGCTTCACCCATCACAAGCAGCTGGCTTTGCCCTTCAAAAGGAAGGAGCTGAAAAAGGAAACCCTTTGGATGGGCACAGGCTATTTCTATGGTGTAGGAGCTGGCTGAGTGCTGAGGGCCCTCCTGTTCCCACCAGGGCAATGGCAGCTCCCAGAGGAGCAGGAGCACCCCAAGGGATGGGGACAGCAGGGGTGAACCCTGAGCAGCACCCAGGCAGGGGGAGCAAGGAGGGACGGACCCCAAGGGCAGGGAGGGGGACCCAGCACCTCTGCAGGGTGCTCAGCTCCTTCCCTCCGTAGCACGGGGATTTACTGCTGCCCTCCTCCAGGCTTGCCAGCAACTGGGTGCCCTGGAGCAGGAGCAAGGGCCCCTTAACCCCTTCCCACCCGCGGCCAGCTCGCTCCTCCCTTGGCCGCTCAACACAGCAGCCTGGTGCTGATGCTGGGGCCTCTGCTCCAGCTCCATCCTCCCGCTGCCTCCTGGGATGCTCGGAGGCACCCACCGAGGATGGATCCCAACAGAGCGGTTGGGATCAGCGCCGTGCAGCTGAGGTTGTGGCTGTTATCACTGCAAGAACCAAGCTTTCTCCGGGCAAAGGGAGCCGCTGCTTTCCCCAGCGGTCCCACCTGCCTTTACAGCCCCCGTTAACTCGGGGAGCAAGGGATAGCCCAGCTCCTGGCCTGCTCAGAGCCAGCAGAGCCTCCCCCCGGAGCACAGTGCTTCATTATCCCATTATCAGAGGGCAGATTAGGAGGGCGGCTCAGGGAACAGCGCCGGCTTTAGGCGGGTTTAGCTCCTTTGGAAGGGCTTATCCAGGCTGAGCCTCCCGCGCTGCTGTGCTCTGAGCCGAGGGGCTGAGCAGTGCTCAGGGAAGGGGGGGGCACAGCCAAGAAAGGATCCGTCTGGGAGGCTTCCATACCCAAACCCAGCGTTAGACACTGAGTGTATAGCAGCGAGGGGCTGCTCTGCTCTGCCAAGTGCTGCATTGCTCCCAGAGAGCACCGTGGAGTTGGCTGTGGGGTGGGTTCTGTGTGGGGCGCACACAGGATAACCATGCAGAGCAGAACAGGGTTTTGCCCTTTCTCCTTTACCAAAGGAGCCGGGCTGGGGTGGCTGGAACCCAGCAGGGAGAGAGGAGCTGTGGGAACTGCTGCTGCAGATCCCTCCTCTGCTTCCCCAGGCCAGAAACGGGATGCGGTGGTGGGATGCTGTGGTGGGATGCTGTGTCCCCCACACATAACTGCCCCAGCCCAGTGGTTCTCATTTCAGCCTCTGACTCACCTCCCAAAAATTCCTCTGCTCACATCATGCAGGAAACCGCTGCAGGGAAGTGGTGAAAACCCCGCAACAACGGCCTGAAACTTGGCTTCCTCCAGCCAAGGGGGGAGATCAAACAGCAGCACACTGGCCTCCATTGTTCTGATGCCAGGAACACTCATGGGGGTGACTGCATGCCTGGCCCAGTGGGGTGTGTGTGTGTGTGTGGTTATTCCAGACTCAGCAGCTTCTCATGGGACATCTGGGGGTGTTCCCCAAGCACAGGGCCTGACCTCAGAACCATCCCTGAGTCAAGCATCAGGAATGAGCTCAGCTGCTCTGAGTGAGCCCCCGTGGGCCTGGGCTGTGCTGAGAGCTTGGCAATGGGGGGTGGCAGCCCCCAGCAGGTCACGAAGCCTGGCTGTGATTGAGGAGCTGCTGTAACCCCGAGCTCCTCAGAGACTGATAAACCCCCTGGGTTAAGCCCTGTGTGAAGCTGGGCTTGTGGGTGATGATACCCACTGCTATGGGTGATACCCACTGCTATGGATGATACCCACTGCTATGGGTGATACCCACTGCTATGGATGATACCCACTGCTATGGGTGATACTCACTGCTATAAACCCACCAAACCCACCAAACCCACCAAACCACCAAAACCCACCAACCCACCAAACCCACCAAAACCCACCAAACCACCATGATACTCACTGCTATGGATGATACCCACTGCTATGGGTGATACCCACTGCTATGGGTGATACTCACTGCTATGGATGATACCCACTGCTATGGGTGATACCCACTGCTATAGATGATACCCACTGCTATGGGTGATACCCACTGCTATGGGTGATACTCACTGCTATGGATGATACCCACTGCTATGGGTGATACCCACTGCTATGGGTGATACTCACTGCTAAAACCCACCAAAAACCCACCAAACCACCAACCCACCAAACCCACCAACCCACCAAACCCACCAAACCCACCAAACCACCAAGATGATACCCACTGCTATGGGTGATACCCACTGCTATGGGTGATACTCACTGCTATGGGTGGTACCCACTGCTATGGGTGATACCCACTGCTATGGGTGATACCCACTGCTATGGGTGGTACCCACTGCTATGGGTGATACCCACTGCTATGGGTGATACCCACTGCTATGGATGATACCCACTGCTATGGGTGATATCCACTGCTATGTATGATACCCACTGCTATGGGTGATACCCACTGCTATGGGTGATACCCACTGCTATAGATGATACCCACTGCTATGGATGATACCCACTGCTATGGGTGATACCCACTGCTATGGGTGATACCCACTGCTATGGGTCATGGAGCCAGCGCTGGGGGTGCAGCCACTTGCCAGAGTTCTACCCCAAATCAATGACAGACCCAAAACCTGTGTCCTGGCTCATGCACCTCAATCGCTCTCCCACACAAGATACCGTTGTTCCTGTCCCCTCCTGCCCCTTGCTGGTCCCATAGGTCAGCACCAGCATCTCCCTGGGAGACTGCTCCCCATGAGCCCTGATGGTGAGGGGCTGAGCTGCCTTCCCTGGCCTGGGTCAGCCCCAGAGTGGCTCCATCCCTGCCCTGGCCACTCCTGCAGGCACTGCCTGGAACGTTCCCACTGCTGCAGTGGGTGGCTGTCCCCCTGCCAAGCCCTGCAGCCCTGCCAGCCCCGCTGCAGCACACAGCCGCGCTATTTCTGGATCCACCTTGAGACAAGTACCTTCAGCAGCGGGAAGGATGCTAAAAGAGACGGATCCAGGATGAGAGCAGCCCATTCCCGTCCCCAGGCGGCTGCAGCAGAGCGGGCAGGGAGCTGGAGGAGCTGCTGTGTGCCTCGAAGGGAAACGCTGCCGTTCAACCTGCTGCAGAGCTGTGTCCTCTGCGCGCCTCCTCCAGAGCCTGTCGCTGCTGTGTAGGCAGCAGGAGCCTGAAATCCGGGCTTGTCCTGGCATGGAGAGCCATGCATCAGCATGATGGAGGACTAAGGCAGGGCCAGGAAGCCCCCAGCCTCTGCTTTCTCCCCCCATGACAAGCTCTCTGTGGGCACCAGCTCCTCGAAGCAGCTTGGGGCAGGAGGGAGCTGAGGGGGTGTTGGATTGCCTTTTAACCCTTGGCTGATGGCACAACTCAAGGCAAACCTTGTCTGCTGCTCCTGCCTCAGTGTCCCCAACCACAGGAGCATCCACCACCCTCTGCAGGGGCATGGCGCTCTGGATGCACAGCCCTGCTTCCCCAGATGACATCAGTGAGGTCTGGGATACCCCACAGGCCCTCCAGGACAGGAGTTTGTGGGGTGTTTGCTCTTGAAGAGACACCGGTGGTCTCCATGGTCATGGCTGGCCTCAACACCCTGCACTGAGCACCCACTGCAGTGGGGGGGGGGCATTCACCACCCTCTGTCCCCACCGGCTCCATGCCACATCCCCATCCCACATTCCCGCACTGCTCTCCCACATACTGGCCTCTGCAGCCCTGGGAA